TCATTTTAAATCAGACAGCATGCTAGAATTTACTCCCCAGTGAGGAGATTAAATCAGAATGAGAACCATTATCCTTGCTGAGGTTGTTTCTCAGAAAATAAGACTGGGGATATGGCAGACTTTGATGGTCTACTCTTTATAAAGGAAAAAAAAATGACAGTTGCTAATTCAGCCACAGTAACATGCTACACTAATTGTCTTTTGTTTCAGCAAAGAACTAAAGAGCTAATTCCCCTTTCTTTTTTCCAAATTATGATTACAAACTGCTGAGGAACTTCAGACAAGCAAACATTTACATTGCAGTGGGAGGACTGTGTAAATAGAAAGATAAAAATAAATTTCACCACTATTTGCAATCATTTTGGCATCTGAATTGGACCTGTCAGTGATCTCACACATCTGAGTTTGTCATGTCCAACAAAGCACTGATTCATGTCCCAGAATGACAGGAAATTCATAAAGGTGGGGCAATGGTAACTAAAGAGTTAAGTTTGTTTTTACTTGTTTCATTACTGTGGCCAGACTCTTGAAATATTACTTTTTGTTCTTGGACGTTATCAACTGAAAACAATGGCAATAAAGCACTCAAAGGTCAAAAGCCTACATAATTAGAGGAAATCAATTAGAAATGTGGTTAAATAGTGTCACTGCTGAAGTACTTTTTTTTGGCTAGGTAATAAAAAAAAAAAGATCATTCCAGCTTTCCAGCTTTCATCATTCTTGTTTAAAGCCCAGTTGTCCATGTGATGTTTTAAGGGACTTGACTTTTTCAGGTGTTTTGACCACAGAAGGGATGAAGTCATTAGGCACCAAAGTTTGTTTTGATTACGCCTGAAAACCAGGAGATAGCAGAGGTTGAGACAGAGGCTGCGATTGCCTCCCCAGCACATAACTCTGCTCTGCCCATGCACAAACCCACCGATGGTGGGAGCTGCCACCTCAGTCCCCAGCTGCCTGGCCCATCCAGGGGTGCATATTGCAGCTGATGGCAGGGGACACTTGCCTGAGCTGGCACTGCTGGAGGGGACACAGTTCGTCAGCAATGGCTCACATCCATGCACCTTGCCAGCTGCCACCCAGGCAGAATTTTGGCAACACAGCTGCTTTAGGTGTTAACATGGTGACTTGACTGACCCAATTCAAGCAGCTCTGCACTGGAGTCAAGCCTACCAAGTGTGCATTGGCCTTCCGTTGCATGAAATCTGGCAAAGAGTGAACATGTATTTAGCAAGTAAAATAAGTATCTTGGAATACTATGCCATACTACCAACATCACACACTGTCAGATCTTCTCAGTTGCTTTTGGGATCTGAAAGTACAGAAGAGCTGAACCAGCTTCCTTATTAACCAAAGAATGCAACTCAAGTCATTGTGGACTGGTAGATAAATGACGGAGAATCTGTGCTATAAAAAAAAAGGAAGAAGTCCCTCTTACACGGGAAATCCATTTTTTGTGTCTTGTTGCTGCAAAGGGTCCAGCACTGTTCTAAGCATCCTGGCCCAAATCCAGCAAAGCACTTCAGCATGTTTCCCTTCCGTTACTCGTTCACATTAATGCCATCGTGTTCCATGGGCACCAAATTGTAATCCTAATATTTACTTATTTCTCAGGGAATACCTTCATTAAACTATTCCTACGAACATGTTAGATAATAACCTGTTCATTTTTAAAGGCATTTTGCAAATGGGTGGACTTTTCTGTACGATTATGCTGACCAAGGACAACTCTTCCAGCACAGGAACACTCGACAGGCACAGTATTTCACACTACAAAGGCTCGAGAGCTCACTCTTTGAATGTACCAAGTGTAACTTCACTCTCATGATTGGTCCAACACATGTTTAAATGTTTGCAGAATCAGGCCTGATGCTCTTTCCCTGGTTTAACTTTCCTAAAGTATTGCCAGATGAGATAGATTTTGCACTCAGGCTACCCCTGGAAAAATATGTTAGCTCTCAAAGGCTTTATTATCAAATCCTGGAGTTTTCAAGGCAAAAAAGAAATAGGGCGGGGGAGAGACAGACAAATGAATGGAGAGAGGCATTATTCTACAAATTAAAATTTATGTGCTGAAATCAGAACACTGCTAGCAAAGCCAGTTTCATTTATCCAGTCCCTTTCAAGGAGTTTAAAGTCACTTGAAAGAGCACTTCCCTCACAGCCGCACTCAACAGATTGCCAATTACAGCCCTGCTGAGAAGATGGAATTTCTTTGGAGTCACAACTGTACATCTGCCCTCGCAGTAACGGGCAAGGTACATTTGATTAGGTTACCAAAAAATACACCTAAACTGGAAAGCTTTGTTTCCACACATCTGAATTTGCTCAGTATCGTGAAAAAAGATAAGCTTCTGTTTACATCAAGTTGACAAATTCAGAGGTTAATTGCTCTTAAGCACGCAGGTCAAAAGGATACCTAAACAAGGATCCTACTTAAGGAAAACACATGTTTGTAAATGAAATACAAAGAGCTTTCAAAGAGACTACAGGGAGATACAGCATTGTCCATGCTATGTAGACCTGTGCAGCCTGGCACCTACAGAAAGGACTGTAAGACATGCAGTGGCAGTCTGAAAATCTGCAGTAAAAATTAGTGAGAGAGGAGAAAATTATCCGTGTGGTGGCTTCAGTTTAAAAGTTAAGCATCTGATCTATGTTAATCAGCTAGACTCCATCTACAACCAACAGGAACCTCCAGTAAGTCATTTATCCTACCTATGTGAAAAAATATCTCCCAGGAGGGAGCAAACAACCCTCCGTAGATGCTGATCTCTCTTGATTAGAGAGGGACACCAGACTTCTAGTGTACAACAACTGCCTAAATGTTGGATGGCTTAAATTTGGTGAGATAAAGCCCATTCCTGAGCACTGAATAGCTTCAACATTTGGTGTCAGAGGATAGCAATATCATCACTCTTTATGCATCACTCAAGAGAAACAGCCATGTGTTTAAAATCTGACTTCAAGAGGATACAAATACTTCAGTCCTATATGTAGTCCTTTAGCTTCACTACAAGTACTCTTCAACTTAAAATGAAGCATACGCTTAAGGATCCCTGAGCTCACATCGTTATCTCTGGGCTGTACATAACTGCTCCTCTGGATTCAGCTGCACAGCCACGCATCTTCCCACTGCTACAATATCTAAGTTACAGCATTGGCTGCTAAAGGCCAAATACTGACTTGAACTGCTTGGAAAGGCTGGATGAGCTGTATAGCTGCCATAGCTCCACTCTATGTAACTCCTTCCAATGGACTACAGCCCAACCAAGAAGCTGTCTTCCACTGCCCATCCCTTCAGGCCAGAAATTAAACATAAGAAGCCATGAAAGGCTCCTCTGCTTTCTAGAAAAAGAAAAGGAAACAAACCAGTAACGGAAGGGAAAACTTCCCAGAAACAAGAGAAAAAAACTGCCTCCAGGTTTGCTGCCACAAAGCGGTGCTGCTGGCAGATGGACCACAAAAGGACCACAACATCACCTGCAACAGGCATCCACCCTCCTGCAGACAGGATGAACCGTCCATCGTGGAACTTAACTGGCTCTGCTGCAGAAGCGCTGCTCCTCCCTCCATGGGGCCAGAGGGGAAAGTTTTGCTCCCACAGGACTTCATTGTCTGCTTCTTACAAATGCTGTAATCTTTCTAACTTTTACAAATGTTTTAACTCAGTAAAAGCTATTTAAAGTAAGGACATGAAGGGCAATGGTCAAAGGACTGCAGCATGCTTAATCCTTCTTCTTTTTGAGTTCCCGTGCACATTTGAAATAACTTTTGTTCCATTTGCAACCCACATGCTGACACAGCATCCCTCCCCTTTTCTGTTCCCAGATCCTGTTATGAGTTTATTCAATAAAAAGACAGATATTCATCTCTTTTCAAGTACAAGAACATGCTTTTGAATAACTCAATATGCGATACTGTAACAGTACGCCAAGCCAGCCCTTGTTTTAATCAGTCGTACCAACTCCTAGAGCGGAGCTGCCATATACATATCATCACCTTGCATGTTTACCTCATGAGTATGTAAATACACAAGGCTAAATTCAGGCTGCCTGTTCTGCAGGCAGGGGAAGAGGTGATCTACAGGGACAAGGCTGCCTGACCCAGATCCCTCCAAACCTCTGGAATCCACACCCCAGGTCCACTATGCAGCCGCCCTCATTGCAGCAACAGACCCCTTGGCTGGTGTCTTTTAGCACGTACCCATCCTGAACATCTCAGCTAGAGCTGGGATGTTACCTGAGGAAGGAAGGAAGGAAGGAGGAGGAGATTTTACTACAGAGTGACACTCTATAAATACATAAACAAACAAACAGGCAAATGAGGGAGGAATGCCCCTGGCTTCCTGCTCCCTGCTGTAGGACCAGAGAGCAGCTTCCAGACGCAGGAATTAGCAGGTTTCCCAGCTGTGTCCCAGGAAGAAAGGAGCTAGAGGTGGAAGACAGGATAAGTAAACAGGAATGATAAGTCAGCGACTAGACTGACAGGAAAGCATGCAGAGGTGGATAGGAAGCGGATGCTGGGATTCAGGGGGAAAAGAAACTATGTCAGAACCAGCAAGATTAACTGGCAGGTAAGGGAGAACCAAAGGCCTACAGCAGACAAGACTGACCTTGTGCAGTCCAGGGAAAATAAAGCATACAAGGTCTGGTTTAGGGTCTGGGGACATAAATGGACACCAGGTTAGTGCATGAGAGTGAAATTAAACTGATCTGTCCAACGGGAGCAAGAAGATGAAGTGATACATGCAACAATTTCCCACCTGCCATGGACACAGCGCTTAAGTCACACATGAAGCTGCTCCTTCAGGCAAACAGCTACGTATTTGTGAAACACTGGTGATTCAGAGGGAGGGCAGCACTCAAAACAGTCTCTTTGGTAAGTGGTGGGTTACACTAAGAGTAGGGGTTTGTTTGGTGCATGATCTCAAGAAACATGAACATCAAGTCTGCAAAGAACATAACAGAGCAGTCAGGGAGAGGAGACTCGCATTCACTAACCTTCATATATGGTGATGATATGAGGGTGGCTGAGGGATGACATGATCTCAATCTCCCGTCTGATGTGAACCATATCTTGTTCATCCTTAATTTTGTCCTTACGAATGGATTTTATTGCAACCTACAAATTCAGGAAATCAAGCATTATTCTTGGAACTGAACAAATGCATATAATCCATTAAGGAGAGTTCAAAAAATAAATACAGATGTTAGATGTTGGCAGAATGTGGAATGACCAAAACAAAGCTTTAAAATACAAACCTCCATGCCCCAGCTCTTTCATTTTATAGCAACAAATACACGCTCATTACAGAAATCAGTGACATGAAGTTTTAGGGTCTTCAGGTCCTAGGACTTCACTGAGAGGGAACACAGCATCTTTGGAAGGATCTCTGTGTTAGCTTAAGCACTCTCCATCCAAGGCAAATGGCAAAACTCCCAAAAGATTTTGATGGGAAATACATTTGCTTAAACACAACTGCATCTGACAATTTCAAACAGAAGCTTTGGAGGCAATTCTTCTGGAGTAAGGTTGAGATCTCTGATGGCACAGAGGCAAGGAATCAAGGGTGCCAATTACAACTTTATGCTTGTCCATGTTAATACACAGAGGATCACATTAACACGGGTTCCTCCAAGGTTCTCTAAAGCAGGCAAACCACTCAGGAGCTATGACTTACTTAAAAATTAGAAGAAATAAATCTTTGAAATTCACACCTAAACTCGTCCTCACATAAACCCAAGGCTTTTGGGTTCTACATAGCACTTATGCAATCACTGCAAAACCATATCCTTCCTGCATCCTTCCTCAATCAGCAACCTTTTTTCAAGCACATCGTGTGACTGGGTATCTTTCCAAAAGGCAGGGTGGGAACAGAGGAAGTGATAGCTGAACTTGCAATATAAATTCGAATTATAACAGCCCTTGTGAGTGTGCATATGTGTGGTGCCTGTGAAAAAAAGGGCTTATCTGAACAACGCCATAAATAATTGTGGAGGTCAGCTCATGCCCTGCAAGAAATGCAAAGCCAACAATGGAGAGAAGCTGGTGGGAGAGGGAAGGTGAGCACATTGTGCATACTGAATGGCAGCATGGCCGTTATTATACTCAGTATTTACCCTGCCTTATTTTTGTAAGCCAGAGTTGAAGGAATAAATTACCAGCTAGTTTAAAATCAACAATGCGCCTTTGAAAGACACCACTGGCCTGCTGAGATGACCACCCTTTTATGGGTAAACAAAACTTTTGCCATTCTACTGCAGAATTCTCCTGGGAAAAGATTTGTAAATCTGTGATTTACATGATTTCCCTAGTTCCTTCAGAACAACGTAATTTTACTGCCTACTTCAGTAATTGCAAGTGGCATGGCTGGTATTGCTTTCATTATATGAGGTAGTGGCAAGGATATTGAAGAAAGTACAAAAAATTGAAAATATTATAAAATTGAAATGTACATAAACAGGAGCTAGCTTAAAGATCAGGTTTCCTACAAAACCTTCAACTCTGAAAAGCAACATTGTTCAAAAAAGCATTAAGCACATGCCCCATCCCCTCCAACTCCCAAAGATTTCAGCACATGCTTAAAATTAAGGTCATGCTCAAGTGCTAGCCTTCTTTGGGACAACAGAACGAAAAGCAGAACTCCAGGGACAAACTAATTTGCATGTGAAAACCTAAACAATTCTTTTCTTCCTCTTGACCCAAACATTTGGGATAGAGATTTTAAAAGTACCAACATAACTATGGTCTTATCTATGTGGCACATATTTCTAGAAAAGGTAATAAAACAGATCCTAATCGAATGAGTGATCAAGATAATCTCCAAATAATAGTAGAGGATGAGAAGGCAACTAACACTAAAGATGAGGCTGGATTTTTCCCCCTTCCCATGTTTGTACTGGGAAAGGCTGCAAATGCAAATACACCCTGTATACAAGAAGGATGTGGGTGGCTCTTGGAGCAGCATGTGCATTCCTAAAAAATAAATAGAGACATGGGTAAAAACACATTATTTATTAAAAGACAGTCTTGTACTTGGCTCTGAGGAAGAATTTAAGAAGGGTTTCATTGTCAAATATACAACAGGGAGCAAATTCTTCACCATTCATGGCTGGTAAAGTACTAACGGCACTCCAGAGGGCATGCCAATCTCCTACTAACTTGACTCTCTGCTTCACAGACAGGACTTTTGTACATCTACACTTAATTACTGAAAATGGCCTCTCTGGAATAATTGCATATATGAAAACATGTATTTTTAGATACAAAAATGCAAATGTGATTGAAAAGTAGTCTGTAAATATTTGTTTGGATTAATCCGCAAACGCAAACAGATGTGTTGCCTGGGAACATATTTTTCAACAGGACCAGAGAGTTTACAGTCTCACAACCACTGAAAAGTGGTTAAGGCATGTAAGGAGCCTTACTTTATAAAGGCCATTCCCAAAATTTTCAGCAACTTTTGAAGATGGAACTTAAGCTCTCCTGAAAACATCACTTCCCAGTTGCAGAGGTAGAATTTAGCAGCCCTAAGTAGTCAGGATCGTCAGTGACATCCAGGCTGCCAGATCTCATCCTGTGCTGAACAAATCTTTCAGGTTTTAACATTCAAGACTTTCTCTTCTCTCCCTCAGCTACTTCAGATCACAGTGACCAGCACTTGGAAACAAGGAAAAGACAATTGGCAGGTGTGAACTAACTCCAGTGGTGTCAATGGAGCTGGGGCAGCTGGTTCCTCTCAAGCATCCGCCTGCCCACACTCAGACCATCCCCTGCAATCCTGACAAACAGCAAGAGTGCTGCAGAGGAGGCAATGCCCCTTAACCAGGGCACAGCATGTCACCAGTACAAGTACTCCGTAGTGGAGCAAGGCTTCAGACACTTCGGGCACGTACTAATGAAGGAATATCACTGTCTATCTGCATAGCACATGAGCATGTTCAAAGCAGAGTGCAGCCATTTACTAATTAAACCCTGGGAGGCTTTCAGGAGATAAGGAAATGGAATTGGAAAGCTGACATAACTGCTATAGGAAACAAGGACAGTAGCATCTCAGAAATTGCTGCCTGCCTCTCTCTCTCAAATTGTATAACACACCTACAAGACTGCCTGTCTCAACAAACTATTTGATTATTAAAGGCTGATTTCTGAGACCTTTCACTA